CTTCGTGGACAGCATGAAGGCCCAAGAGTAAAAATAAATATTGAATATAACATGAGCTTTTACTTCCTCCCCACCCCCCAAAACCCTAATAATTTCTGTCACAAGGCAAAAGCAAAAGGAAACAGAAAGAAGGAAATATCTGTTTGCTTCAGTTTGTTATTCTTCATGATTCTAGTCCTTCCAACACTGAATCTCCCTCTCTAAGGCCGAGTTTACTCTAAACACCATGGTGGATTACTGGACAATAGTGTCCCTCACACTGATGGGATGTTATTTGGTTCAGCAGAAGCTTCTGTCAGTGGAATGGAGAAGGACGACATGTTTGCTGTTTTCCTCTCCCTTCTGCACACCCTCAAAATCTGCTCTAGAGAGCCATCAGAACAGTGCAGGTGACACTGTGGACTGCAAAAGGGAGGGGAAATTGATGAAATTTGCCTTCTTCTCTGTTCCACTGATGGAAGTTTCTGCTAAATTCGTTTTAAAAACAAAAACAAAAAAACACACACCTCCTTATTGGGCAGTTCACCTCCTTATCTGGAGATGGAACTTTCAAGTTCACATTGAATGCCAATGTGAGGAAGTGAAAATAAGAGTCTCAGGGACTGGGCAGTACATGCAAGTTTCCCAATCAAGTCTTTACTTCAGAGCAGTTGAAATATAGAATGTTAGAGGGTAAATGGAAGTAAACAATGGAAAACTGAGAGGAGAGGAAGGGGAATGGGTCTGCTGAAACCCTAACAGCTTATTTTAAGTATGGAGGTGAACATATACTCTCTCTCTCTCTCTTTCTCTCTCTCTCTCTATATATATCTGTTCCAATAAAATGCTCAGATTTGGTCAATTCACATGGACTCTCTGTTTATGTCATCTATCCCAACCCCATTTTTTTAAAAAAAAGAATCATACTGTTATGAGTTTGAGAGGTTAGGCTGAATACTTAGACCCGCCTTCTAATTCCTGGATCCAGCACAGTTGCTGGAATAGTCAGGACAGCCTGGTAATCACCTGGGAGATGAGCCATTAACAAAGAAAAGAGAAGGTAAGGGCTCATTAAGAAAGTCAAATGGGAGGTGCCCCTCCCTCAACCCAGAGTTGGTTTGGAAGAGTTTTGAAGTAAAGTTTTAGAGCGGAGTTTATGATTGGAGTTTTTGCATGGTGTGAGCTGTCTGTAAAATGCAGCAAGCTGGAGAGAGGGTCAGAGCCATGGCTAAGGTCACTTTGAATCCAAGGTTACAGTTATGGGAGAAGCAGGACCCTCTTGGAGTGTTAATGCCGTGAGCTCCTCCATTGTAGGCTTGGGTTGTATCTATGTGTAAATAAACCATCTATCATGAAGGCACCACAATCTCCACTGTGCCTCATTTCCAAAGGAAACACAGACCCCAGGTGACACTGTGGAATCTTGCAATGCTCAGAGGTTGGGGTGGAGTGCAACAAGACCAATTGGATTTCCTTGCAACCATGCATCTATGTACAGCATCTCAGTCAAACACACCTCATGTTATTTGAGCCTCAAAAAGAAGCAGCTCATCCGATAAAGACATATTGTCCTATCCTATGACTAAATTGTAAAACATCAGTGGTTTTCTTTGTTTATCCACACAATCATCAGGTATACAGCTGCACACGACAATGTTAACATGGTTGAATGTGGGTATATATGACTGTAGTGTGCTGAAAAAAAATAGTCTGGTAAGACTGCTGGTTGAAAGAATAGAGAAAATTTATGCTCCTGGCAAACAAAGGCATTCTAAGTATAAGCTTAGATGTGACTATCATGGAGTCATGGAGTCAAATGAAAGGTCTAAGACTAACTGACTTGGACGAAAAGCAGGAAGGAAGTGAAACCTGAGAAAAAATCTACATGTCAACAGTTACTGAAGAAGGAATCAGCGAGGGAAGAATAGGTTGCCTTCCTATCTCTCTCTCTCTCTCACACACACACACACACTGGTTCAGGGTAACTTATTGAAAGCATTGTTGCTTTACACTCAGCAATTATGAGCGGGGGGGGGGGGAGTACTTGACACTTATGACCATTGCTGCAATTTTAGTTCCAGTTGCTATGACCATAGCAATGGCCAGTGTTGTCTCTGTGTACTGCCCTCCTGTCACACGTAACATTTCTCTGCCCAGCTGTGCCTGCAAACACTATCATGAAACAAATCGGGCTACTCCTGCATGTGGATCATCCAGAGTCACTTGCCCAAAACCTAGCTTCAGGATATAGAGAGCTGCTACCAGTTGGTATAAACAGTACAGTATTGGACTAGATGGACCAATGCTCTGACTCAGAATAAAGGCACCTTCCTATGTGCCTATGGTCCACGTATTACATCCTTTTTCACTGTCTAATTTTTTTTGAAAAATATTAATGAAAAACAGATTTGTTCTAATTTTATAGTATTTGTTCTGTTTCTTTTTCACTAATTGTGGTGTGAAGAATCTGGATGAACGGAAGCCAAGATTTTCTGTCTGCCACATTTGGGGGGGGGGGGGAGGGGAGGAAATATAATGGCACACAAAGATGCCTGGCAGCATCAACACACTGCTGGAGAAGCAATTTCTCTTTGTTTAGATGGCAATGTGTACGAACATTTACATAATAAAATAGTCACACAAGTAACAGATGGTGAAGAGGCACTTACTTTGCCACATGTTGGAAGCATGATACAGTTCCTTGACGAACTCATTTTTCTTACTTTTGCCTGTGGACGTCTACCAGCTATTAACCCTCCAGGGTTATTTGACTGGTGAAAGCTTTGAGGGCTGAAGCTTGGCAAAAAACAACAAGCCCTGTCTACAGAATTTTCCATCTTAAATCAAGAGCAAATGTTCTACTCTGCCGGCAGCTTTGCAGTTTATCCAAATCTTCCCTCCCCCCCCCACTCTTTTTTTAAACTGTCAGAAAAACTAAATATTAATCCCTTTTGCTGGTGACACTTCCTGGGCTGAAATTCTGATAAAAGAAGATAAATCCTACCATTGCCCCAGGTCTTAAATCTCTTTCCCTCTGGGCTTTTTCCTTTTTTTTTTTCATAAGAAGAGGAATGAGAACCAGAAAGAGCTAACCATACTAATGCTTCTTATTAAAAAATATCAGTACTCTGATGAATACCATTAATTTTCTTTATGAATTAAATGCCAGTAAATAAATCTCTATTAGAAGGAATGGCAGCTTCACAATCTGTGTAAACTCACGATTCAACTATTAGGGGAAAACAGCTTGACTCCAAACTGTGCTGTGCACTAATTACAGCTGGAGCCAAATGCATCTTCTCGTATCTACAAGATTGCCATGCACAAAATCTGATATCTTTCATGGACTTTGCTGCCTTTTCTTTTCTTCTTTCTGAAAATATTGTAACCTTATGGATGCAAGGGTTGAAAACTGATGGCTAGTTTTTATTAAGCATCAACAAACTTAATTGAGCTTAAATGCCTGTGGGTAGTGGATTGTTTTACATAGGTTTATGGAGCTACTTTGCTTCTCCCATGACTCCTGTTCCCAGCTTCTCCTGCAGACCTTTCCCCTCTTTCCACTCCCACATTTCTTACTGAAGCATTTCAAACGAGAACAACAAAAAGGAATACAACCTTAGGCAAAAGAAAAGCAAGCAAACAATGAGGATTGGGGCAAGAGAGAATTCAGCCAGTGCATCACTGCAAACATTAAGACCAACAATAACAAATGATCTAAATACCTTAGAAGCAGGAAACCAGTTAGGAAGCTGATTAGGTCTTTGGAGGATACGGGAGCCAAAGGTATGTTAAAGGAGGAAAAGGAGAGTGCAGAAAAGCTGGATGACTTCTTTGCATCTGTATGGACAGCAGAAGATGTAGGGTATGATCCTATGTCTGCCCTAGTCCAGTGTCCTCAGGATGAGCACCTGAGGAATTAGGGCAAATAATAGTGACAAGAGACCAAGTTCTAGCTGTATTGTCAAATTAAAAATAGTATTCATCCAAGAGTTATTAAAGTATCTGAATATGGCATTGCTGATCTTTTCGTGTATCTGAAGGACAAGTTATATATTTTTGTTCCTCAACTCTCTGGAAATTTTTTTGAGGGTGCATGAGGACTGTGGGGAAGGGGAAGAGGAGGTTCTGTTGCACATGTGGAAGTGTGTTGTGAGAATGTAATTGCCCCAATGACTGCATTTCAATTGCAAATAAGTATTAGGTACAGTAAGTTTGGCAGTTTCAAATTCTTTAGCTTGGTTTACTAAGCACACTGAAAATAAACCTGCTAAATTAAACCTTTCTTTGTAGCTTTTCTAAGAAGGCATTTCAGAATATTCTACCAGTTCAGCCTGAACCAGGAAGAAAACAGTTGCACCAGCAGGAGAAAGGCAGCCCTTCTTGGAGTTTGTGGGCCACAGCCTAGTTTTGATTACTTAGAGCAAGGGTAACCAACATGGTGCTCTCCAAATATTGCTGGACTAAAATACTACCATCCCAGACCATTGGTTATGCTGCCTGCGGCTGGAGTCCAGAAAAATCTGAAGGACACTATGTTATCCATGATATACGGATATAAGCTGAATCTGAGTGTAGCCAGGATTTCTGTTGTGGGGCCAGGACACTCACATGTCCTGTTCCAGAACAGAGCTACCCATGATGCAATTGGTCAGTTCACAGAAGCCATGCCTATTGCTTAGTTGTGTTGCCAGTTGTATCTCTAGAATGCACCACAACATCATCCAAGTGATCTCAGCGAATGTTTCAATTTAAAATATTCTGATTATGGCTACTTTTTGTCAAGTGTTTTTATTTATTTGCATGATTTAGGAGGGGTAGCTGCCCCCCTGCCTGCCTGGCTATGCCCATGTCTGAGTCTTAATTAGGGATTCTCAAAAAGAAAAGAAAAGAAAAGAAAATACAGAAAGTTATTTTTTAAATGAATGAATAAGCCACATAGCCAAAGGGTTGTTGTTGGGTTGTTTTTAATAATCCTGAAGTGATATGAAAGCAACCACAGAGGCACCAGCAAGCAATTAGGTAGATGTAAAGGAGAAACTGGTCTCATTGAACTCAGTGGGACATTTCTGAGCACATGTTCTTAGGTCTCAGTAGGTCTCAGTTCTCAAATGTTTCCAATATAGGTGTTGCTCTCTGAAACATTCTGAGATCTTTGTTGACCTGCAATGAAATGTTAGTTTCAGTACTATTAGCTTGATGGCTGAGGCAATGTTGTTTTTCTTATTTTAGGGAACATATTCATTGTTTGTGGAGTCTAAAGTCACACCAGACTTTCTGAAACATGCCTTATTTTCAAAGGAGTGAACTCATCAACAAGTAATTGAAAGGACTTTAGCTGATTCAGTATGCTGTTGAGATTCTACTTCATGCTGCTTTACAAGAGCACTCATTTTTCACCTGCTGTGGATAATCATGAATGAGTTTAACCTGAAAAAGAAAGATCAACATCAATTTGGCCATCAGTCAACTGAAAATGGTAGTGTACTCAACGTTTGTGAGCTGATTCCACTCTCAAATGCAGCTATGAATATGTTAGACTTCCGTTTCTGAGCCCTAGTTTGACGAGATCTTCTGAAACATCAGTTTTGTAAGCATGTATTTGTGTAAATTCAGGGAAATCCGCTCTGTAATATGTAGTTATGTAACTACATATTGAAGTCATATGTAACTCTTTGATATTTATTTTTCTTAATAAATAGTAATTTACTGTGAGTTATTTATCACAGACTAGTCAAACATTGGATAAATTTTGATTTGCATGTTTGGGTGTCCTATAGAGGTTCATCTCTCATGCACCAGAAAATATTTTGCTCCAAAAGGTTCCTATTAAATGGGTCATTGCTAGGGTGTTCTGCTCTGCTGGCTAACCATATGGTTAAACTCTAGAACATATCACTAACTATGTCACTGTAGCAGAAGCAAATCTAATACTCTATCAAAAAGTTTATAAAGGCTGAGCAGAATTCTTATGTGAACGTTTTCAGCAATGTTAAAAAATGCCTTCCCCATTTGTTGGCATTCTTCATAAAAAAAAAATCAAATTTACAGATTTGTCGAAATTACTCTCATGGGCAGTTGCTGACATCATCACGCAAGCATATCTAATTGGCTATGAGATGTGCTGGGATAGCTCAGTCAGTATAGCATGAGACTTTTACCCTCAGGGTTGTAGATTTGTGCCCCACATTGGGCAAAAGATTGCAGGGGATTGGACTAGATTACCCTTGTGCCCCCCCCAATCTCTACAATTCTATGTGTAGCATTGTGAAAGCATCCCATTCAGTATGTGAGCCCTGATTAGGTCAGATTACCATATAGGTGTGTGGAAATGCAGTGAGCTAGGGATATTACCGTAGTGGCCTGAATATAAGCCTCACTTTGTGGCTTATATTTGCGACCTTATGGTATGCAGCCAGGAGCGTGGGGCAAATAGCACCAGGAGCATGGGTATAGCGGAGCCTGCCCCATGCATAGTCCCCTGTCCTCTCCCCCAAGGCCAGGAAGCGAGGAAGGGTAAAGGCTGTCGGCAACACAGTGCGGCTCCACCGCTCCAGCCCAGTATGCAGCCAGGAGCAGCGAGGAATGGAGCGGCTTATATTCGAGTATTTTTTCTCTCTCCCCCTCCAATTTTAAAGGTGCAGCTTATATTCAGATGTGGCTTATATTCGGGCCAATACAGTATTTTCTTTTTTCTCTTTCAGGAGAACAGAAATTGCTAGTTTCAAACTGAAAACTGAATCTAAAGTTTATACAGTGTAGCCCAAATATTTATTATTACAGTTCATTGAGACAAAACGTTTCCATTCAATTCTTTATACATTTCCTTTTGTAAAACAACCTGATTCTGACAAATGGAAATGTAGATATTATAGTTTGTCTTTTCCATATGATCTCACTCAGAAACGATAGGCCCATCAGCAGCCATGACTGTTTATTCTGTTTTTGTGACAGCTGTGAACAGTGATGAAGTGGTGTGTGTGTTTTTTATTTGAGTATTTATGTCCTGACTTTCCAATGCAAATACACCAGTCAGCCAGCCACCCCAGACCATCAATAAACAAGCATTGCCACCACTAGGGCTGCCATCTCAGGAAGGCAGAACAGCCTGGAGGCTCAGGAAGAATGAGTGAGGAGAGGAAGTTGCTCTCATAATCCATCTCCATCTCCCTGTACTCATCAGCCACCTAACTCTTTTAAATGGTAGGACAAGCCGTGACAGCTGGGAGTTAAACTTCTTCTATAACTGCCCCACGGTTGTGGAACCTGCTGCCTGAAGACGTTAGAAGACCTCTTTGAAGGTGTTTTGGAGGAAGTGCAAGAAACCTGTTGGGTCGGGCATTTAACTGAGAATATAATTCCTCTGGCTGTTCATATGTACTGTCACTGTAGTTTTTAAAAAGAGCTTTTTCAAAGTTGCATTTTCTTTTGCACAGCAAACATCTTTTAATCCTTTCAAGAAAGTATGTTGGCATCGGTCTGTCTCGAGAAACAATGGAGTGCGCATCCAGGTTAAAGTCTAACTGTTCCGTTAGCAGCACCGAAGCGACCACCCCATAGTGCAAGTCTGAGCAGTGTGTATGGAGGCCTCGGGTTCCCCAGATGATAAGATCCCCCTCTCAGCCTCACTGGTGTGGTCCAAAGGAAAGCAGAGCAATAAGTTTGGCAACAGCTTGGCTGCAGGAGTTGCCAGAAGGAGGCATACAAGGTGCCACCCAACCGTCTTAAAGTCTCCACTCTGAATTTGTGCAGGGTTTACTCCTTAGCCTTTTCTTCTCCTGAATATCTCCCTCAAGGCAGCGGGGGTTAGGACCAGAGTTTTTTTTCTCCTAGATGGGCTACCTTCCTCGGTTGATGAGCCCCATCTTCCTCTCACTCCCCTCTACAGCACATGCAGAAAACTCTTTTTTGACCATTAGACCTACTGTTCGTCTCATCAGCTCAATCCACTGGAACCTGTCTTTGCATGCAGGGGAAGTCCCTGACTCATCAAGGGTCTGAGACCCATTGGCTACCCTCACCTGGTTTAGCTAGCCAGTTGAAGCTATTCCTGGTGTATGGCCGCTGTCGCGTGCTGACAGTTTCTAGGAGCCAATGGTGAGAGCTGAGTGTAGGGTGGGAACCAAAGATGGACAAACTATCCCAGAAGTAGCACAACACAACCCCCACCAGAGATACTACCCCTCCCCTAACACCCTATACACCCCTTTGGGGAAAGTGATACTTGAATGAATAATAATACGAATAAAATAGAAACACCAGCTTTGGAATAGTTGAAGGCTTGACATTACTTCTTGGTTACTGAAGCTCATTGTATAACAATTATTCTTTAGTCAGAGGTTTCTAATTTTCATTTCAATTCAAGTCCTTAATACACAAAAATTATTATTTCCAAAACTGACAGCTAACATACAAAATGATTATTTCTAAAACCATGACAGCTAGAATGAACATGAAAGGCAAAGAGAAATAAAAATACTGTATGAAGTCACTGTGTCCTCAATAATTGAGGGAGAAAGCACAGCAAATATAGACATTATTTGGAAAAAGTAGCTCAAAGAACCTGGCATCCCTCTGTCAATTGAGCTGCCAACTTGCAAATTCAGCAAAGGTTGACAATGAATTACAAGGACTTTAGCTGTGGCCAGCTCCCTGGTGTTTTATGTATTCCATATTTTTTTTATTAGAAAGAATAAAACTGTAGTTGGAAAAGGAACTGAAAGTTGCATGGGCCATTCCATAGATAAATTTGCAAACTAGGCTAATTTAAAGCAGACATTCACACATGTAACATCCAAAAGGGGAGGGAAAGCCCTATTTTTTGTTCTATAACCAAGTTCAGTGTGGGTGTGAGGTCAAATTTCCCTACCTAATCCAAAATTAATTAAAGAAGCTTTCTCTCAGTTGTGATGATCTAAAATCACTGGTGATCATAGTGTTTCATTACGTTGATAACACATATATTTTACTTACATGCTTGGGCTCCAAATTCATGGCTCCAAAAGGGGGCTGGTTGGGCAATGGGTCTTTCCTGCCCTTTCAGACCATTGAAATCTCTGCTCATCCAAAAGCAACTCCCAGCCTTTGAAGTTTGGGGATATTCTTGACCAATACTGAATGGGATGTATGTGGGTGGGCCTGCAGTAAGATGTGGGTGGGGAAGCCATATCGCCTGAGCAGACTTCTCTTTGTACAAGTTTGGATTCAAGCCATAATTATTCATTTATGTTCAGTTACAACCAATATTTTGTGCCACCAGGTTTAATGAAACTTGCGCTGCATCCATATGGTGGTTTTGAAGGAGGCAGACATATATATTATTCAGTCTTTCCCAGAGCTTCCATCAGCCTCAGCAAGCATGGACGATGGTCAGGGTTTGTTGGTGTTGGTGTTGGGAGAGCACCAGGTTCTGGAAGGCTGATCTAATTCATAACATCTACCATCAGGCTACACACACTGGTCCATATTTGCCCCCAGCTGTCTCCACCAGTGGTGCATGTAACCCTGGGTTCCCTTCTTTTGTCCATTTGCAAAAGTATACTTCTTAGGATATTTCAAAAGATTTTAGGATTGGTATACTGAATCTACAATCTAATCTAAAAATTGTGGGAACAAATCTGATGGCAAAGTGAAGTGTTTCCTCTATTTGCTAGGTTCAGGATAATTTATAAGCAAGCATTTAATGAACACCCATATAATTTATCAGTGAAGCTTTCTGCCCAATCTTACAGTTTTCTACTTTCTAAATAGTTTCCAATTAGAACTTAATGGGATGAAACCCAGTTGGGTTCTTAATTAGTGTTCTAGATTTTTTTTTTCCAGTGGAAAGTTCAACTGCAAAATGTTTTAGAGGAGAGTGTTCCTCATACCCTCCAAAAGATCTCGGGCATTGAGATCCCACCCCCTGATTATTTTCCCTCATTATAAAGGGTATTATTTCAAAATTCTCTTTATTTAATATTTCACAAAGGGTCATTTATAATCATGAATCTTTATGGTTATTTTTTACATAAGCATATCACTTAGTTATTAATTTTATCAGTGCTGGCCCAAGACATTTGAACCAAGCAGCACCACACATGTGCACAAATGCTAGGATCAATACTTTAAAATTCTCATTGACTCTTCAAGGACTGCCTTCATTTATTTCCATCTATTCCTCTTCTTAAAGCAACCAGCTTCACTTTGCCTGCTTCACTTTCGGTAGGACTTGCCCTGAAACAATTGAACTAGACAGTTGACTAAACATTGCCCTGTACTAAAACAATGAGTAGGGAAACTTCCAACAAACAAAGTCAGTATTGAAAACACATTTTTAAATCTGTACTACTCAGTACAGCCATAATGTTCTCTCTTCAGCTTCCCAAATATCTTGATTCCTTTTTAAATTTATATAATAAAATTACTTCTGAAAGTGGAATTGTGAATGCCAGTGTATTTGATTGTTTTCTCTTCTCATATATCTCCTATAAATCTGAACTGATATGAAAATAAACATATTCAAGTCTCCTGTTCTCACTTATATATTGCCTTCTCATAGGTTGCTTCTTATTGTGAAATTGTGCCTGTTCAAGAAAATTTTATATTCCGGTATCACACAGATATATAGGGGGGAGGGATGGTAAACTGGGACCAAATGGACACCATAATGCAAACCATACAGTTTGTGACACTTCAATGGAAAGCTTAAAAGTATAGGCAACTCATTTATGTGGGGGTGACATTCTGAGGCATCATGTGTTCTAATAAAATCGCATATATTTGGAACACCCTTGAAAAAGTCTGCAAACACCACAAACTCCAACTCTCCACAGGCCACAAAGGTCGTGCAAGGGCTCATGGGATTGCACTTGCAAAGGCTTGTGGGATTTCTAGACACTATTTTCACTGTTTTGTGCTCTTTTGGTGCCATTTTTCCCCTTTGCTTCTGCGTTTGTGACATTGTGTCGATGTGCTGTCACGTGTACCTTTAACATGAGTAAATGGGGAGTTGCCTGTATACAAAAGTACCATGACATTCTGCTGTTACTTCTCCAGAACAATGTTCAGAATAGAGTCTTGTGAGTTGTTTCAGCACGACAGTTAAGTGTTCACCTGATTCATCTCCTTTAACCCGTGATTTTATTACCACCTACTGACATAAAATGTAACTCAATCCAAGGTCAGGGAACAGTGTGTGCTGTTGATGTAAGTAAGTAGAAAGATTATCTCAAGAAGGGATGCCGAGGAAATGATAATGGGCATGTCATAAAAAGGTGAATGCTATTCCATCCATTACAGAACTCTAAAACAATAATTTTTTCTGGTCTGGAGATGTCAAAAAATCATTTTGTTTTTACTTTGGGTGATTTGTTTGGTAATGGGGTAGTCAGGAAGCTCGGGGAATTGTTAGCCACAGTGGTTTTCTACTTCTGTACATGGGAAATTGTTGGACTACAATTCCTGCCACCCTTGACCACTGACTGCCATGATGTATGGGGGTTACAGGAGTTGGAGTCAAGCAACATCTGGAAGGATGCAGGTGACATCAGGTGTGATGCAGATGGGTGTGTGGTTTTGGCAAAACAGTCTTCTGGGCCAAATTCGGCCTGTGGAACAGAAGTTACCCTGTCTGCTCTACAGATTGGTTGTGCCAGAGCACTGGTAGTTTTAGTTCTAAGGTTGTGTTAGTTCAGTTTCTTAAAACTAATTCCACTGTTTTAAGCTTTAGAGATGTGCACAGGCTTAGAGACTGAACTGTAAGCATTTCTGCTTAGCTTTTGTATAAGCCAAAGGCAATTCAGGCCAATAAAGCCTTCTTGTTATCTCCTGTTATCTCCTCTGGTTGGGGCAGCCCAGTCAGATGGGTGGGGTACAGATAATAAATTATATTATTATTATTATTATTATTATTATTATTATTATTATTTCCCTTATTTTTAAAAAATGCAACACTACACACAGTGAGATCTGTTATGTCCCATTTGGAGACAGCTATTAATATTCCACTTATTTCTTGGTGGAGCAACTGAATCACATTTTTATGAGCACTAATGATGATGAGTTTTCCAAACTTATTTTTATTAACTAAAGCACAAACGTATTCTGAAAAGTAACCGGTTTCAAATTGCAACCATTGGGAATGTAACAATATTGTAAAATATTTATCCACTCTGGGTGTATATGGAACAAAGCAATGCAACCTAGCATATAGACTTAGCAGTCTTAGAATCAGGGGGAAAACATTCTGTTACTTCTTCTGTCACTTTCACTTTATTTAAACTTGATTGAGCTATGATCCAAAAAGTACAATCCCCTCCCCCATGCAGGACTGTTAGATGAACTTTAAATCAAAGGTGTCAGACATACAGTTTCTGGACCAGGTGTTGATTGCTATTTATCTTGCCCGTAAGTGTGCCTGGGCCTTGTAACATAAAGCTTTAAGCATAAAAATAATTATTTCCACTGTCTTTTCAGTTCTATCAGAGCCATATCATCATACCACAAGTACAATGAAGTTCCTGCCTCCCCAGACTACCTTAGCTGGCAAAAATGTCAAATTAAAAGGAGATATCCTGTAATATATATAATGTCATTCTTTCTTAAACTTGTTCACATAAATCAAGCTGCACCTGGCTGTCAAATATGGTCTACTCAAATGGTCCTAATCTGACAATTACAAATTATGGTGCGTAGAACTATATCCTTTTAAGACTATTTATTTACACTGGGTGATGGGCCAAGGGCACCAGATATTATTATTTTTACAGCAACAAAAAACTTACTTGTTGGCTTTACCATGAGGGAAAATATGTAATAGAGAAACTGTTAATCAAGACTTGGGAATTATTCTATTAAATTGCAGTGAAAAGTTTGAAGTAGAAATAAATTTGCTGTAGCTCTGTACTGATTCTCAGTGGTGGTTTATGCTAAAGCTCTTAAAGCAACCAAAAATGGCCCCCAAGTAGATTGTACTTAGCAGAGCTTTTTTTCACCCCGAGAAGACAGAGACAATAGTTGCATGGTGAGATGGTTAGAGTGTCTGCGAGACACTATTTGGCCATGAAGCTCACTAGGTAACTTTGAGCCAGTCACTGTCTCTCAGCCTAACCTACTTCACGGGCTTCTTGTGGGGATTAAATGAGGAGGGAGGGAACCATGTACCCCACCTTAAGCTCCTTGGAGAAAAAGAGAGAGAAATGCAACAAACAAACCTTTAAAGCACATTCAAAGCAAGTTTTTCCCCTCAGATAATTCTGGGCATGGCAGTCTGATAACAGTTCGTGGGAATTCCAACTCTGTGTGGTATAAACTACAGTGCCCAGAATCCCTTGAGGAAAAGAATGTGTTTTGAATGTGCTTTAAAGGTATAGTGTGTACATAGCCCAGACGTGGGTGTCATAATAGTAATAAAATATGACAAAATGAGTGAAGGTAAGGAAAGAGCTGGGGGGGGCAGGGTGAATGAGGGAATTATTTGACAAAGAAACATAATTCAAAATAAAGATGTACCCAGTTTTGTCCAATATGAAAGTATCCATCAGAAAAATAAAAATATTGTTCTGGTGTTGTTTCGCAGTGGCCAGTGGTGCATCCAGAACTATTCAGTATTGTCATCAATGATCAAATTAGGTGATAAAAATTTGTGGATAGTGTAAGGATTGTCAAATATATGCTTGAAATTCAAAATGATATCAATATATTGGAAGATCCTTGGCATGTAGCAAGGGATAGAATTAAACAAATAAATATGACATATATAAGGATCAAATGTATAAAGCGGAGATAACTAGCTAAGAGAAAGATCAAAAAGTTCTTGCAGATAATAAACTGACCCCAAACCAGTAATGTTATGCTGCAGCTCCAAAGGTCAATATTGTTTTATGTTCTGTCAATAGGAACATGGTTTCCAGGTTATAGCACAAAACTATTCAGTGTTGGTAACACCTTGTTCAGAATACCGCTTTTTACATTCGCTACATTTGTGAGAATCAAAGTGCCTGTCCTTCTATACTGCCCAGTTTCAGCTAACATGTAGTCACATGTCCTGTAAACATCAGGTTTACTATGTCTGACTCTGGTCTGTTTTGCCAGATTTGGTGCAAACACGACAACTTTACTAAAGATGACTAAACATCAGCAGCAAGGCATAATAGCTAACAGTACGGATGACATTTGCATAGAGAGTGTTTGGTGTACAAATGTCCTTATTTCTGGCCTTAGAAAACACCACCCACCTCAAACCCTATCACTTGTTTAAACCTAGGTAGGGTTCTCACTGCCAACTCACTCTGAATATTGCTGCCCCACATTTAGCAGGATGGTTCCTTCAGGTCCCAAGAACATCATACTTCAAGTCAGACAGCCATGTGACCTGAATGCTTACCTGATATCTAGATTAATTTCCAGGCTGCCTTGAATCCCAAATTATGACAAGAAAATAAAGCAAATTAGAGGCAAATCATGCACATTTGGCTGTTACATAATTAAGGCTGCAATCCTATAACTACTTATCTCGGGCAGAGGGAAGTAAGCCCTGTTGAACTTAATTCAATTTACCATATTTTTTCCATGCATAACACGCTCCCCCTATATATAAGATGCCCCTATTTTTGGAGACGCCAATTAAAGAAAATCCCCCAGCTGCACTATCTGTGTATAAGATGAGCCCAGATTTTGAACATTATTTTACAGTAAAAAAACCCTAGTCTTATACACGGAAAAGTTCGGTATTTATTAGTAGACATATACAAGATCATCAAAAGATCTGAAGTGATGAATGAGGGGTTTCATTCTCTTTGGTGGCGTGGGAAGCAGGATCCATAAATGACTTAGTCCATAAGGGATCTTTTACAAGGTATCCTGTGGTCTCCTGTTTGTTTTGGGGGTCTTGAGTATTTTATGTTAAGCTGTCCACCTACCTCATAAAATTAGTTCTTTCCTAGCTAAATTATTTATTGCTTCATATGTGCACTTGTTAAGATAGCACCTCTTTTTTTTATAGCCCTGGCTGCTAATATCACTTCAAAAAAGAGTGAGACTACTTCCCATTATAAATATACGGTAAATCACTATTTTCAGTAGGCTAGAATCGGGGTATAAATAATCAGTCTGTAAGGAAATGTGGTTTGCAATATGCTTGTCAAGGAGAAATGCTTTTTATTAGTTTAAAAACAGCTTAAGAATATTGTAAATCAGCAAGTGTGAAAACCAGTGTAATTTCCATTGGGCTTGTTAAATTATAAAAGAGGACTATTTGTTTATTTATCTTACTGCTATCCTGCCCTTCCTCCAAGGACTTCAAGGGGCCATACATGGTTTCCCCATTCTATTTTAGCTATAGAACCACCTTATGAGGTAGGCCAGACTGAAATATAATGACTGGCATAAGATCACAAAGTAACTTCAGTACTCTGTGTCCCACTTCATTTCATAGATGAATATAGATTGTACCATTGTTCTTCCCATTCCTGCTCAGGCATTCTGTCTATCACAGCATACTGCATACAGAACATCTGTCAGCTCTACTTTCTTTGGCATGTTTCCTAGTAAAATCTATCTTGTGCAGCTATAATCTGGATATGCGGAGTGAGCTGTAGATTTTTATGGGCCCTCGGGCAATATGCAAGAAAATTGGGCACCTCTGAAGAACTGGAAATAGGAGCAAAAAGCAATGAAGTAGACAAAAGACGTATCATTCCAATGCATTTCAGACCCTCCTCGTCCTTCAAGGAAATGCAAACATTTAACATTTATGTATTTATTTATTTATTTTGGTTTCTTTCAATCTACCTTCTTTTTTTGTTTTTTTGTTTGTTTATTGGGTTTTATAAACAAGAACGATGTTATACAAAGAAGAATACCAGGTTTTCTCATGTCATTTGTATATCACAAAAATGGCATAATAAATGTAGAAAAATATCTACAACATACGTTTCATTATTAGTGGTCACTGTATGAGTTCTTGATTTATGAATTGGTTTAAACAATTAGGAAGAAGAAGAAGAAGAAGTAGAAGAAGAAGAGAGGAGAAAGGGGGGAGAGGGGGGAATGGTGAGTGGGTGGAGTTGGGTGGTTATGCTTCTATTCTACTTAGTGGGGGTGTATGGATTGTGTCAGTGTTACTTGTATGGGTTCTCTTGCTATTCACTTGTTGGGTTTCCTTGGTGGTGAGAGAGGTTGGGTGTGACTTAGGGTCTGGTTGGTTGTCTTTGGTTGGCTGTAGTGAGAATTGTTTTTGTGTGTGAGCAGAGAACATTTAACATTTATATTAGACAGAACATCTAAATGTCAAAACTTTATTTTAGGTATTTTTTTCCTGAAAAAGGACCAGCAAGATCCAAAATGCATTGGAATCATGTCTATCCTGTTGCATTTTGCTCCTACTTCCCTTAGGCAGAAGGCGGGTAATGATCTACTTTTAGCTCAATTTTCCACTAGAACATATTACTGAAGAAAGAGTACCCTTCAGGATGTACACTCTATTACTGCATAACTGATGTCAGAAGCCAAACATCTAAAATCTAGGCATAGAGTCTTACAGAGCAAAGTTTCATTCATATAGGAAGCCTGGCACCTTTCAGATACAGGCAACACAACATAGGCTCAAAACCCACCTGTACAAACAAAATAGGACAAAAAACAAGCATGCTATCATCAGGTCTGTAGATCATATCAAGATTCCTGTTGCTAATGTAATGTGTGTGTGTGTGAAGATAATAGCTTGCTTGAGAGAGAAGATAGCAGCACTGAGAGATTCATGATGACTCTCTCAACAGTGACTGTATCTTGGTCAACCCTGCCAACGATTGACACTGGTGACCCCACGTAAAATATTCCAAAATTGTCTGAAAAGCTCTTTTAATAGCCAAATACCACTTCTATTAGAAGACTGACACTTTGATGTGTTAATCCCTCACATGAGAATTTGTTATGGGTCTTTGCCATATTTGCTGTGACTAAAATGTACATTGTGAAAAAGGAACTGTCTTCAATATCAGTATCATGCGATACACTGAAAAATATCTTGCTTTGCATACTTCATCTACCTGAAGGAGTGATTTTGTTATTCATTAACACCTGTGATACTTGTAGGGGGGAATGGCTGTGTGTGTGTATTGAAACCTTGATGTAGTGTTTATTATACATTTTGGATGTTTTACTGGACTATGTTACTGGTCTAGGCTGATTTCTGTGCATAATCATTGTGTTCCATATTTCTTTATTTCGTTTACCATCATTTACTGCAAAAAAGAAGAAACAGACACATCCCTTTGTACAAGCCAATCTTATAGCATGTTGTATATAAATTATGAAATCTGTTAGTATGTACACCTGTGCTGCAAGGGGCGCAGCCTTCTCCAGCAGTCTCCTACCTGACCAAGCAGAGGAGACTCAGGTTTTTGAGGGTCTTTTACAATGAGGTCAGAGTGCTACATCATTGGGCTGGTGGGTGGGGACTAGCCCCACTGGTACTTCTGGTAGTCATGCCTCTGGGGTTTGCCCTGTATGCCCTTCAGAGTCCTCAACTCCATCACCTGATGAAGAGGAATCCATCTTCTGATCCCTGACAAAGAGGAGTTGTACTACAATTCCCATTACATTTTACTACCTGTTTTAAGAACGCCTTGTGAATGTCTTTTCTTCCTTCAATAATTAACAGAGTATGGTGGCAAGGAAATCTTTTATTAATAATGTTCTCAGGCACTGACCTTGCTCTATTCATTATGAATAGTCAATAGCAGTTGCAACTTAAAAATGCTCTGCTCTAGAAGATAGAAGGCATAGCATATTATCTATGTACATGTGCCAAGAATCTATAACTACATTATTGTTTCATTTAAAGTTGTATTTTTTTAAGCCAAAGCTGCTTCAAATATGATACTTCATGTGCCCTTGGTTAGGAATTCAAAAAGGATGCCTTGGGCTGCTTTCTTGTGATTCCTTAATGTTCTGCAAGGTGACTTTTCCACATTCAAGTTCCCACTATTACAAATGACTGACGTTATCCCCAGTTTTGAAACTGCACACACAAAAGAGTGAGTTAAAATGTGATGCGCTTTAAATCTGAGTGGTTATGCTGAAAATGGATCAGACAGCATTACATATTTCAATTAATTTCCTAGAATACTAAACCAATCAGACATATTCTTCACTCCAGGCAACAAAATAATTTTGGGTTTGGATAAACTTGATCTTCAGTTAATCTTCAGTTAAGGTCAAATATTTCTGGCAGTGCAACAAATCAGAAACAGCAGGAAATAGTTTGGAACAAAGTTGGAAACCACAATAATGGTAAACGGTCCCAAATATTTTATCCCTTGATTTAAATACTTGGCTACCTATGGAGTCTCTATTGTTGCTTTTAGTTGCTGGATTTTTCTAGGCAGCATTTCTGCCCACAGTGGCACTTGGGCAAATCTTGTTAAAATGGGGATGAGATACATTAAACTGGGCTGGAGTACAGCCTTAAGAAACAAAGTACATCTATCCTCATGTCTCTACTATCCCTGTCTCAGGAGAAGCAGAAGCATGCTTTTTATTTATTTACAGTGGTACCTTGGTTCTCAAATGCCTGGGAACTCAAACAACTTGGAACTCAAACACTGCAAACCTGGTTGTAAGTGTTCTGGTTTGTGAACTTTTTTTCAGAAGCTGAACGTTTTGAGTGCCACACTTCTGATTTGAGTGCCACACTTCCATTTTGAGTGTTATACTGAGGTCTGTCTGTTTTTGCTATTTTTTTGCATTTTTTTTGTTTTTGCAGCTCTTTTTTGTTTTGTTTTTGTGACTGTTTGGAACCCAGTTCAGCTACTGATTGATTGTGTGACTGAAGTACATTGTTTATTACTTTCAATTCATGCTAAATTGCTGTTTTAGGGATTGCTTTTAAACATGTGGAACAGATTAATCCATTTTGCATTACTTTCTATGGGAAAACACACCTTGGTTTTGGAACAGACTTCTGGAACGGATTAAGTTTGAAAACCAAGGTATCACTGTACATGAAAAAGACATGAATTTATTGTATAAATGCATGTCTCCATGGGCTTCTGATTGACATCTGGACCTCTGGACAAGCAGAGAGCTGCCCAATTCTCTCCAACATTGTGTGTGTGTGTGTGTGTGTGTGTGTGTGTGTGTGTGTGCATCTGTGTGAAATAATTTGTGCAGTTAGACTGTGTGGAACAATCCCTCATACTTAAGAGGAAGGGATAGTCTCTATAAGGAACAGGATCCAAATGCCACTGTTCAGAGGTAACGGGCTTTATCTCCAACAGTTTGGTTCCCCGAAACCTGAATAATTCAAATAATACATAGGAATCTGCCATATATCAAATCAGACCTATCTACCTCAGTATTGTCTCTCTCAGCCCTACCTGGAGATGCCAGGAATCAAACCTGAGACCCTCTGCTCTTCCACTGAGTTCCACTAAGCCCTTCCACAAGATTTAGGTACATGTAGAGCTTTGATGTTCCAATGCTTAGTGCCCTTCCCACAGACAAACAGGGAATTTTAAAAAAAGAGGGACATCCTTGTTTGCGTATGGAATGCTCCCAACAGAGTCTAAGAAAAACATTTTCATCCCTTTTCACATCTTTTAATTTTAAAAGTAGAAGAAGCATATTATCCTCTCATTACTAACCTTTGTCTTACTCTGACTGTCCACGTGGATTTGGGAGAGGCACACGTTTAGATTTAAAGTCATTTTGTTGTTAAATTTTGCAAACTTCTCTTCTCTTCCCTCATTCCTTCCAGAAGTCCAAGGTGTTACTTAAAAGCGCTTGTAGCAAAATATTTTTTTTTCTAAGCAGAAAAAAATCTAGCATGTACTGCAGTAAAATGCTTTGAAGCTTAAAGTAATCCTAGGAAAGAAAAACATGGAACCCAGCTGGAACAAGTTTGGCCAGAATTGGTGCTTTACTCTCATCTAGCCAGGCCTCGGAGATACATACCAGGGCAACAGCCTCATCCAGTTTTAAAATGGTGGACAAGACCGATTTAGTTCGCTATTTAAGTATTATTAATGAGTGTGATAGTTGTTGTTGTTGCTTGATTTATAGCCTACCCTTCCTCCTGAAGGAGCCCGGGAAGGCAGACAAAGAATGAAATAACATTAAAGATAATCTATACAAAAATGAAACACATTATTAAAAAAATAAACATGTTATCTCAAAGATGGCATCTCTTAGCCGTCAGATGCTTGAGTAAACAGGAATGTTTTTAACTTTCTCCTGAAAGTTAATATAATGAGGGAGACAGACCTCACTATGGACGGCATTCCACAAATAGGGAATGAAAAGGCCTTTTGCACACTGCACACTGGTCAACACCAAGCAACCAGTGTGCAGTGGAGCCCCCACCAAGGTCTCACCTGCCAAACACAGGGTCCAAGATGGCTGACCTTGAGGAAGGTACTATTTTACGTACTTGGTTCCCAAGCCATTTAGAGATTAAGTCCAGTAGCTCACTGAATCTGGTCCAGTAGCTCACTGGCAGCAAATGCAGAAATATCAGGACTAGTGACTCGTGGTGTCATTGGGCTGTCCCAGTTTCCAACCTAATAGCTGCATTTTGCACTAGCTGCAGCATCCAGACCACATACAGCACATTACAGGAGTCCAGATGGGAGGCCACCAGAGAACAGACAGCTGAGACCAATCCAGGAATGACCATAGCTGGCAAATCAGCCTAAGCTGGCAAAAGTATTCCTAGCCACAGAAGCCAGTTGAAAAAGCAAGTTGGAATTCATGCCAGACTACAAACCTGTTCCTTCAGCAGGAGTACAACCCCTCCTAGGACAGGTTGTCCACCTAATCCCTGGACACGGGAGACACCCGCCCAAAGCGAGTGCATCTTATGTGATCCAACACTTTCACAACCTCTCCTGATGCAGATGGAATGGAGAGATAGAGCTGCCTGTCAGCAGCGTATTAAGAGCACCACTGGATGACAGTTCCCAACAGTCTGTATCAGGCATAGGCAAACTCCGGCTCTCTAGATGTTTGGGACTACAGATCCCATCAACCCTGACCACTGGTCCTGTTAGCTAGGGTGATGGGAATTGTAGTCCCAAACACCTGGAGGGCCAGAGTTTGCCTATGCCTGGTTTATGTGAAAAGCGCTTCCTCCCTCACTCAGGGGATAAAAGCTGAGGGTTTAGACCAGTGGGTTGGAGTTAGCAGGGATGTAATCTGGAGCGGGGGCAGGGCATCAGCTTTGCTGTCCATTTGAGTGCAAGGCTGAAGCTATGGAAGAAACAGGGGCTTTTTGGGGTGCAATGCTGTGAGCCTCTCCATCCAGGTTCAGCTTGTAAATATATCTGTTTAAATAAACCATATATCATAAAGACACCATAGTCAACGCTGTGTCTCATTTGTCCAAAAAGAAACACAGACAATGGGTTAAAGCATGCCTGCAACCCCTGGGGTGGTGTGAAACAGTATACTGAGACTTTGGGATGAATTAGTTTTAAACAAAATAATAAAAATAATAACAAAATGTTAAATAACAATTATTCTGATTTGTGGGAGGGACGTCAACTAGATTATATAGTTAAACTCTCTCCCCCACACCCTCATATTTGCATCAAGAAAGCTCTAGTTGAGCTGGAAAAGGTGCGGTGAGGTTTTTTTTAAGGTCTCACATAAAAAATATTCCTTCATTTTTCAGGATGAGTGTGTATTTCTAAATACGAAATGTGCAAAATATATCTACATCTCCAAAATGACTTGTGGGTTTCAAAATGCCCCCTCCCTTTCTGTATTTCCTTTCCCTTCCATCCCCTCCCAGTTTTCAAACCTAAAACCTGCCAAAGAAAACATAATACACAGAAGGATATCAGGTATAACATTAATCAAAGTCAGCTCCCACAACAACTGCGGCACGTTTGAAAGAAAAGGCTAGGAAAATCACTATCAAGGACCAAAAGCAATGACATCAATGCACCTCCATGATGAAACTTAAATGGTAAATTCTTTTCTTTAGGTCAGGCACAGCTGTTAATAACAAAATGTAAATAATATCGGACAAAGTGGAAATTTTGCATTTTTACCCTCACATTTCCTTTTGCAAATCTGATCATTAACATGCCTACAGAGCCATGGGGAACCTGTGGACCACGAGATGTTATTGAACTGCAAGTACCATTATCCCAAACCACTGACTATGCTGGCTGGGGCTTGTGGCAATTGGAGCTCAACAAAATATTTTTTTGGTGGGGGTTCACAGGTCCAACATGATTCTGGTTGTATGTTAATAATCAGATTTCCAAAAGGAAATATGAGGATGAAATGCAAAGTTTGTATCATCTATTTTATTTTATTGAAGCTCTCCACAGATGTTGAGACATCCATTTTATTCTCCTTAAAAATGGGGAAACTATTTGTATCCATGAATACTATTACAGCCTTGAATGTCTACTGCAGACAGTTTTTCTTCCTTAGCCTTTTGCACTTCTCCCTAAGGAGATGCTTATAATTAGTCCTTGGAGATGGATTCACTTAACTGAGATTCATGACCAGGGCACTGCAGCAAAAATGCAACCCACAAACAGGCAATTTTTTAGTGTCAATTTTCTCCCTTAACTGCAATTTATTTGGGGTTTCCCCCCACTCCTAATGGTCTGCCGTGATGTTTAACATTTAAAAAAAAAAACTTTTCAGAAGAAAAATTTCTGTCAGTTTTCCACAGATGCAAAAGCCATAAAAACGTATTTTGTAGACAAAAAAAGAGAGATATTAATAAAAAACAAAGCAGAACCCCCTAGAATGGAAAATTTAACAAAGAGTTTCAGTATTACTTTGTAGCCATTAATAAAACCCTTTCCAGAGCTTGTGAAATATAAGTAGGTCAAGTACAAAAACATTAGCAGGATAGGAATGTTTTTCAATTGCCTTTATAATCCATGTTAGCGGCTAACAAGTATGGTGCTTTAGAACTGTATTCAAGAGATGGGGGTGTTTCTTTGTTCAGTTTCTGCCTGCTGACATTAAATACTGTTTTCCTAATTATTAACATTTTGAGAAAATCACTATTGCCTTTGGATAACATGGGATTGAATCTGTTTTAGAAAAAATGTTCAAGATGGTGCTTAAATTTTACCAAAAACTGAGATGCTTTTTTTCACTTCCTGATATTCTCTCTCCCCCCCCTTTCACACACAGATATACGACAACAAAACATGCTATATTACATTAGATACTGCCTCATCCATTATATATCCAGTAGGCCACTGCAGCTTCTCCTTCAAGTTCCAAATATCTCAGAAGCCCATAGAGTGGTGGCATCAGAAAAAAAACAATATTGGGAGGCAAAGAAGGAGCAAAGTATATTTCTAGCTGAGGAGTTGTGTGCTACATGTTAGCATCTCTGAAAGAAGATGTAGCCTTTCAGTTGTACTTGATCTCAGCAACTCCCTGTAAGGGTGGTTGAGAATCAAATAAGTTTTTTTGGATGGGAAAATTGGAAATTCACACATGGAGTCTATGCAGCTGAACCTACAATTCTACATTAAAAGTACCTAGCTGGCAACCAATAGCATCTACACAGAATGATAAGAACAGGAAGCATTTTAAAGGAATTTTTCCCTTTTAGCCAGTTAATGGGAGAATGGACAAGATGCTTGACTGACTTATATTTAAATGTTCTTAATATTGTTGAGTCTATAAAAGAAGAAAGGGATGATTTGGTATCTTTACAAAAACTGCAGTAAGGTGTAAAATGCATAAACAAAAATTGATGGTTGGGTGATTCCCCCCCCCAAAAAAAAATTAAGTTGATTTCAGAAAAATTCCAGAGAGCCAGACTGTGTTTTAATATTGTTCTTCTTTGTTTATGGAGCACACAGCCTAGTGTTAAAATTGGATGCCTGGGATACAGCCTAAATGATTGTTCAATTACATCTTAAATTAGTTCATTCATTCAAGAGCTGGAAAAACAAGCTGACCGGCAGCATGAGGTTGCTTGATGAGGAAAGAAGTGAATACAAAAAAAGCTTTAATCTTCCAACAAGTCTTTTTCCTGAGCCACAATAAGGGATTGATGTTGCATTTTAAACTAATCAATCAAATGAGTTCTGTGTACAAATGTTAATGAATACACAAAAAGTATACCATTTAACATCAAGCATCAAAAAGCCTTTGTGAAGCTAACCATATGGCAAAAGGAATAAATTCTTTTATGTAGTTTTAAGCAATCATTGCAGCATAATTATTGTCAGGAAGCTTTTCCACATAGAACTACTTTCAACGTTAAATGTGTCATTTTTATATGCAAACTGAAAGCCCTTCTCTGCACACACCCTTGTGAAGACTATGCATGCATTGTATATTATATTTACAATCAAGTTGGCTGTAAAACCTTGTGAATGCAATAACAATATGCATATATATTATTTATTATAATTGCAGTCAGTTTGGCTGCAAAACCTGCACGTAGGATTTAAGAAGCACCTACGCCTTGTCAAAGAACAACTAAGGTGGAGGGAGGTGGAATAGTGAGGAGCAGCAACTGCTGCTGTGCCAAAATATGTCTTCTACAGTGGTACCTCGGGTTACAGACGCTTCAGGTTACAGATGCTTCAGGTTACAGACTCTGCTAACCCAGAAATAGTACCTCAGGTTAAGAACTTTGCTTCAGGATGAAAACAGAAATTGCGCGGTGGTGGCAGTGGGAGGCCCCATTAGCTAAAGTGGTAACTCAAGTTAAGAACAGTTTCAGATTAAGAACGGACCTGCAGAATGAATTAAGTTCTTTTTTTTTTTTAATGATATTTATTGAAAAAAGATTTTTTTTTAAATTACAAAGAAAAAAGACAAAAACAGAAAAAGAAAAAATAAAACCATCATTTTCAAATTCTCCACTTTCATTACCTTCTTTCCATGACCTCCTCCTCCTCCCATCTCTTGTATCTTGATTAATAATTGTCACAGCAAATCCTTTCCATAATTCATAATATTCTGTCATTACATTACCTTACTCTATTTTCATCTTATCTTATAAAAAAAACCTTAAAACTTAAGACTTAAATCTTATTTTTACCAACTTCTCATAACCATTACCTTTTTACCTAATTCTTTAAACATTTTTACAAGAGCCAAGTAATTTCATTTCAACATTTTTCCAATGTTCATCAATTTTATAAAACATTTCTAATGATAAAAAAAAGAAATAAAAACAATCCAATCTTCTTCCAGCGTCCCCTCCCCCCGGTCCCGGGATTGTCAGTCCTTTTTATCCCATTAGTCTGGCACATTAACCTGGTGATCTTATATCCGAGGCCTTCAAATCTCTTCCATGTCCCTTCCGCAGCTCTTCTTCATATTTTCCTTTCACTCGTGGGAACTCCAGCTTGGTAGTGTTTTTGACCCTTTTCAACAAATCAGCCCCTTTCCCATAGTCCAGGCTAGACTCCATGTGGTATTTTAAAACATGTTTCAAATTCCCTCCAAAATTGGAAGTCCCAATTAAGAATGAATTAAGTTCTTAACCTGAGGTACCACTGTAACTGAAGAAGAAGAAGAAGAAGAAGATTGCCTGCAAAAGAGGCTCTCACAACACTTTAGAATTTCTCTAGCACTTCAGTGGTATAGTAGCCTTATCTGATACATATTTACTTGCAAGAAAATCCCAATGAATTCAATGAGGCCTGGGAGGATTGACAGAGGATTCACTGATGCACTCAGAGCTCTGCTGCCTCACGCTAGTCAGGGTGGAAGGAGGTGAAGGGGAAAGGTGGATCTAGGGAAGCATGACCGATGCAGTTGCACTGGGCATGGAGCTGCTGGTGCACCAGTAGGTACTGCAACAATGATGTCAAATGGAAGGCAAGAGGCGAGGGGGGGGGGCACTGGATTTTTGCATCGGACAGGGTGCCACTGAAATTTGAGATGCCAAGATCCGTCACAGTTTTCCTTTGTTTTCTATTTTTGCTTGCAAGCTTCAGGCTGGTATACCTGAAAGGTCCAAGACTCATCCATTGGATCCAAACCCACCTGGGCATCAAAGCCTCCCGTCTGCTGGCCATCCTAATTCCACTCTAGTGAGGGCTGGCCCATCCATGAGGTAACGTAAGGTGACTGCCTCAGGTGGCAGGTGCCACAGGGGCAGCAGATCCCAATGTAGATCTTTATTCCCTCTTGTTCCTGATGTATCTCTTCACTCACCCCTTCTTCCTTGACAGGGAGGGGATGCCATTTTATGGTTCGCCTCAGTGCCAAAATGCATTGGGCCAGCAAATCCAGCCTTAACATTCCTTAGTTTTTGAGCGGAAGTAAATTACACTCGGTTCAATTGAACTTTTTTGTAGTAAGGGTGTATTGGATTACAGCCTGACATCACAATCCTACACAAAATCCTATTGAATTTTCTGACACTAATGAATGTATATAAGAATGTACCTTAACTATTTACAAGTATGGCAGAAATAAATTGTAGATTACAGGGTTTTTTTTACTGGTAGATGTAAAAGTGAAGTTAACTGTTTCAGCAATGGGGAACTAACTACATATATGAATGCAATCTATAAATACTTTATAAGGGTTTATAATTCTAGATTAATTTGCCGATTTAATACAACGTTAATATACTATACATAAATTTAATTTTGCTGCACTAACTGTAGTCTTTGGTTCTTTCATTTCTTTATCATTGGTTTTTTTCCTTCCCAAGATTATGCATCAGCTGCTAGATGTATCCATTGTGTCCTCTGGCTATGCAGAACTCTTCCTGAGTTGCATTAATAATATTTCTTTTGGCACTGAACAGTCTTGAAAGTGACATGAGGTGAATACAAAACATATAAAAGTCTCCAGCTGATATGCAATCTTACATGAAAATAATTTATTATTTGAGAAAAACCTTCTCAGCTTTTGACTAATTCAGTGCACATTTACTCAGGAGTAAGTCTCGCTTATCTCCAAGAGTATGTGTGTAAAATTTTTATCTTCGTTCAGGTCAACACACAATGCAGCAGCTTTCTGCATATCCTTACCCAGATAGACTTTTTCTTGTATGTGTGTATAAAGTATTTGGTACATTGTGAAAGCATTAATTGGTGGCAATGTGCCTGCAATGATGTCACGAGGCATTTCCCAACATTGTTGCTTATGCATATTCATCTTCTCATAATCTGCAGTTAGAAGCGGCAAAGACATCTTCAGACTCACGATTTTGTGGGATTCAAGCACATACCAGAAATTTAGGTTTGCACAATTAAACATCTGGAGGGCCAGTTGTTCTCTACACCTGCCTGAGCACAACAAATCCACTTTTAAAAATAAATGAACAAATTATTTTGTGGTTAGGAAGGTGATGAGGAAATGCACTGAAAAGTGTGGGATGAATGAATGGGCTTATGGCATGATATATAAACACCACACAAACAAATCAAGATGGATGCCCGGTGTTCCATAACTCCACACAAACAAACCAGAATGAATGCTCAATAGAGACTCAACAAAGGCTAACTTCTGCATAAGTTTTGTGCAAGCAAATTAGTGTGAATGCTCAATAAACAGGCCATCTGGAGAAGCCCCCGCCTCCAGCAAGCTCAGAAACAACATTTCTAGTGCAATTCTATGCATGTTTACTCAGAGCTGTATCCCATTGAGTTCAATGAGACTTACTTCTACATAGCAGTGATGGGGAATTGCTGGTCCATGGACTTAGATCTGGCCCATGGCACCTTTGGATCTGGTTCATGACCTCAGAAAGAGATGGAGACGGAAGGGGGAGAAAAAGAAAGAAAAATGGGGAGGCCCAGAGAAAAGAGGGAGGGAAGGAAGAGTGAGCAGAAGGAGATAAAACCGAGTTGCTCTTCTCACCACTGGATCACTCCCTGAACATAGATGAACAGCATCATCAGTGTATGGACAACTGACATTATTGCCCTCCAAAGAAGAAGGAGGAGGAGGAGGAGGAGTTTGGATTTGATACCCCACTTTATCACTACCCGAAGGAGTCTCAAAGTGGCTAACATTCTCCTTTCCCTTCCTCCCCCACAACAAACACTCTGTGAGGTGAGTGGGGCTAAGAGACTTCAAAGAAGTGTGACTAGCCCAAGGTCACCCAGCAGCTGCATGTGCAGGAGCAGGGACGTGAATCCGGTACACCAGATTACGAGTCTACTGCTCTTAACCACTAGACCACACTGGCTCTCAAAGGGAAACTACATTTAGAATAGTTTGCCACAGAGTAGTTGTGGCAAAAACTACCTGCAGAGGAAGGGTTAAGAACCACTTCCATGCCCCCATTCTGGTCAAATTTGCAGTCTACCCTACCCCATGGCTTAATTTCAGGGTGTTTTGTTTTTTAAAAGGTGAGTGTTAACATGTGTCTCCTGTGTCTCATCTCGTTTGACCATGAGACTGTTGGGATACTGCCAGGGAGACAAAGTCCATCATGGCCCCCAAGCCGGCTGCCGGACGATCCATCGACCTCCCGTAGTCACGCAGTATCAGCAATTAGTGACATGAACTTCTACAAAATAGCTTGCCACATTCCAGAGCTCATGCACACTCTATCAGCAGACAATGCACAGCCAAAGTCGCACTCAGGAGAGCATTATTTACAAGTTTATTCAGCGTTGATCAGAACACAGAAAAACATGACTGCCTGCTTTAGTGTCTACGACACACAGAGAGAAAACGAAGGCAACAGAAAACATAAACATCCTGTGAACAGGAAATACGCAGACTCTGTGACTCACAGCCTGCTCCCTTTTAAGGTGGAACGGAAATATCCTAACAGAGACATGTCCTAAAGGAAAGAGTTAAACGGCTTTCCGAGTCTCAACCCCTTTGAAATGTTTTCTCCTTTACCAACCTAGACAAGACTCCACAGTGCAATTAGAAACTATTGAAGGGAACATATGAGCTTTGTAAAAACAACATTGCATAATTTCTCATGATCATTCTAAGTCACCTCCATGCAACGGATAAAAGCCTTCTCAGCCCGGAATCCACGGCAACTCAAAAAGAATATTGATTTTCTCGTTACTGAGAAATGCACCTAACATATTAGGAGTGAAAGCTGCAGACACAATGTAATGACCTCTCTTCTTTGGCTTCTCTCCTCTAACATAAACAGAGTCATTTTCATTGCTTGGTTGGGTATTAAACAGTAAATCTTGTAACTGTGTTTGCAAGGGGCTCTGCTTGCTTTATCTAGTTAGCATATTGCAAGAGCAAAAATGAAAAGACACGGCTTTTAATTTATCAAAGTATCAGCTCCATTTGCTCTGGTTTAGCAATGTCTATGGCGAACAAGTGGGTGCTCTAATTTGTTCTCATGCTGAGGGGAGCTGCATTCTCTTTGCATTTTAACACTGATGCATTAGTTCAGATGCCACCATTAATTTCACTGAGGGCATAAGACCTTGGCTGCCCTTTGTTTTATATTTAGCTCTTTTAGGAGCAGAGTCCAGCATATCCATATCAATTAGATGCTCTTTTCAGGTTACAGACACGCCAGGATTATATTTATTGCGATATGTAAAATTTGTGGCATATTACCTCAAGGGGGACATATCCTGATCAGAAGAGCAGAGTGGAAACTATGTTGATCATCATGCTGACATACATATTACCTCAGAGGGACATATCCTGATCATAAAGGTGGAATGGAAACTATGTTAAAACAAAAGCTTCGGTTTCCAGAAGAGTCATGAAGGTCGGTGTTTGTTTTTACACCTGTCTTGTGTCAGTCTAATCACCTTTAGAGATGCTTTTTCAGAACAATAGGCTGAGACTGGATATCTTTCCCATTGCAGGGTGTTCCTTTCCTCTGGATTTAAATAATAGTA